AAAAGCCACTTGATTTATCGTGTGATGCCTCACACCTCTGTTACATTGACCCAGGCAAACATTTGGGTTTTCTAGCCCAGAAAACCAGAATACAAATATTACTTACATGCTGCAATAACAATGAAATACAGTTAGCTGATGTATATAGTTTTATGTATAACTTTGATTGAAACCAGTTTTCTTAGGTGTGTGCAAGATGTCAGAAAAGTTAGACTAAAATAATTATGGTATTCAGTGTCTGCAGCACTTCAGTACTACTCTCCACCAAAGAGCTGTTTAACAAGATGCAATAATAAGTATAATAAATTATAAGAAACAGTGTTCATAATAAAGGATCAAATCATTTTCATGATGTGAGAACAACGTGGCAATATGAAAAGAACTTCTTCTGTTTACCTCTCTGGCCCACAGCTATGCTGTTTTAGATTACTCTGATTGCTATGTGTAGTGTGTTGGTTTCGACTATAGCAGGCAGCTGTTTTATTGCTGTGCATTTAGGAGCCTATAAGATAAATATAGCTTCAGAATTTGTAAGATACCAAAAAATAGAGCAAAAATGAGTTAAATATCTGACTTGCATTGACCAGCAGGCAAGAGATGGTAACGTCTTGTTGCCATATTAATATAAAACTTGTATTAAGAGGCCACAAAGAAAATTCTAGCAAACTTTTTTAAAGAAAATAAACAAGCAACCAAAAACAATAGTCCATATGCAGATAGATGGTAGCTATGTCCTTCTGTAGATTCAAGAAAGGCCTTTTTTTCTTTTTTAGCTGAACTTGACCATAGTTGACGATGGAACTTCTCAGCTGAAGGTAGCTTAGTTATTAATATGATATTGTGATATTAAAGGGAAAGCTAAATTTGGAGAGTGGCACAACAGTGCAGCGCACCTTTACTTCACAGCTTGGGGCTGTGTGTTTGCATGTTCTCCCTGAGTTTGTGTGGATTCACTTTGGGTGCTCCTCCTTCCTCCTACAGTCCAAAGACATGCATAGGGTTTAACTGGTGATTCTAAATTGGCGACAGACTGGCAACCTGTTCAGGGTGCCCCACCTCACACGATATAGTAACTGGGGTAGCCTCCACTGCCCCCCAACCTTGAACTGGATAAGTGGAAGCTGGATGGATGGAATTAGTTTGAGCTTTGAGAAACCCCAAAGCTCCATATACTGTCTTTTAACACAGCTGAATGCTGAACATGAGTAAATACCACCCACCTGATATAAAATGGATATATAAAATGATATAAAATGGCCACATAATTAAACAGAAGTTTAAACCTCAATATAATTTAAACTCGTGAATTTCTATAAAAATTCACCCCTCCATAAAAGTCATAAAATTAAAAACGGTTTTATTTTCTTTACTTGGCTGTAACTTTGGGCATTTTAACATGGGTGTCTATGGCTTTGAAGGCAGCTTCGAGAAGTCAATCCTAGCAGTTCTAAACTGGCTTTATTTATCAGCCCTGGAGGTTCCCAAATTATCGAGATAAAACAGGATATTAACTTGTATCCTTTAGTAACCAACTCCAAAAGATCAGCACAAAATTATACTAATGCAGGACAGATTTAGGCTACAGTGTAAATTCACAAAGAAATAAATACAATTATATTTCAACTATTAAAAAAAAGAAATGACAAAATCAACCCAGGACCTGTTTGGGTTTGTATTCCTAGGAAAGTTGCTCACTTTAATCTAGCCTCACTCACACCTATGGCCGACACACCAGCAGAAAGGACAAAGGCAAACCACATTTACCGACGTGCAGCCACACATATGTAGCCACCCACAGTCAGACAGACAGATAGGGAAACACATAACCGGGCGTCTCACCACAAACACACACACAGACAAAACCGACACACCCCACCATTCACTATCCTGGCCTTGTTTACTCATGACCATCGCAGCTATGCAGCAGCCGACCTCATCATTCCACAGATTCCTCTGTCCTAACTATTTGATGTGCTTTGTCAAAGTAGTTCTTTTTTACTCATCAAAAGCAGGAAACATTTTACTAAATAAAAGTACAAAGTAATATCATGAAGCGGAATAACAGTGACAGGTGGTGGGTTAGGCCTAGACCACAGGCTATTATGATTTAAGGCAGTGACTTTCACAATTCTTTTATTTTATTTACAATAAAAAAATTTTAAAAAATGCTGGGAAGGCCTCACTGAAGTGCATATCAACAAGTTGAAACTGCCATGGAATCTGGGACCAGCTGGAGAGGACAGATTGCTTAAATGTCTTAATCTGTGCAACACTGCCATCTGTTGACTATCAGCAACATCTCTAGTTGCTCCTGAAAACCCCTAATTTTTGTCGCTTGAATGTTTAGTCTTGAATTCTGTGTCACTTCCGGCTGCTCCCTTAAATAACAAGCCTAAACAAAAGGCAAACTCATGATTTGTTTGACGCAGAAAAAATGAGCATGTGCGACCAGAAGGTAATTTTCTCTTCTCTATTTACTTTTTTCTTTAAATACTTGTTTTCCTCCCACAGGGCAAAGATACGTAGGCCGAGTGAACTGGTTGAACTCTAAATTACGTGTTTAGTGTGGATTTGTTTGTGTTGTGATATAATCCTGCGACAGGCTAGTGACTAGTTGCCCAGAATGCTGACCCTGTGAACCTGCACAGCAATAAGCAGCTAGTGACTCAATGGAGGATTATACAACAGAACACTTTGAGTCCTTCCTGGTCATGCTGAAGCAAACACCGAGAACGAGGAGGCACAAGAACCAAATAAGACTACATTTTATAATGTATCTTAGTTTCTCAGTTATCTTGATGAACATATTCAGGCTTTCTTCTTGCACCAAAGAACTGCCTGCAGCTTTGTGCTGAATATTTTAGGTATAATGATTTTTAATAAAGTACTTCAAAGCTCATTGTGTTTTCTTAATATGAGCTGGTATCTTTGTAAGCTAAGCAATATTTTAATAAAATATTCTAAACTGCTCATGCTGACTGCAAGCCTCACATTAAAAATCAACAAACCAAACCTTCAGACAAGGTAGCTTCATTGATGATCCTCTGCTTCCAGACCTTTATCCAAGTCAAGAGAATTTCTGATTTCTAGTACTGACAAAAATCATTACAGAAAATTTTAATATAAATCAGTTCTCTTTAAGGTTCTTGCTATTGTTTTAATAAAATGATTGTTAAAAAGCATGCCACCCTGTGACGAACCTTTAAGGATATTTTGATCTGTGTGCAAACAAAGAGACATGTTTGGATATGGAAAAATACATGCACTATAATTTTGCACGGGGGCAGAAGGGAAGGAATTGTTTGGGAAGTGACTAAATGGTGAAAGAAAAAGTGTTACATAAGGAAACACAGAGGTCTTTAGCTCATTTTCTAGTAGTTATTCTGACATGTTCTTCTCTCTGATCTTTATTTTAAAGAAAATTCGGTTTTATTTCAGTTATAGAAACTATTTTTTCAAAAGGAAATAAGGCAGATATAGTTATGATTGACAGATCAAAGGAAACTTAATCTCTAAGGTGTTCTTTGTTTCCAAAACAGTATTGCAGTGGATTGAACAAAATAAACTGTACAGTATGTTTAGTATGTTTAACACTCTGTTAAACATACTAAACAATAGTGCAACTGTTATAAGCCTATATATGGCCTATATATGGGGAGTGATTTACTCCCCATATAAGCCTGACTATAGGTCAGGCTTATGTGGGGAGTAAATCACAAGGCTAAACAAGCTGGGGAATGTAAAGAGATGTACTTCTCAATGAATCAACAATAAATATCTTATAGTATAACGTGTAAAATCCTGAAATTAGCCATTCTGATGATTAAGTTGAGTTTGAGTCCTCTGGTTAACTGGGGCATTTCTGTGTGGAGTGGCTGCCCCTTTTCTGTCAGTTCTTCCAGAGGTTTCTTCCTGTTACAAGGGAGTCTTTCCTTTCCACCGTTGCCAAGTGCTTGCTCATAGAGGGTCATCAGATTGTTGAGGTTTTCTCTTTACTATTGAAGGGTCTTTACCTTACAGTATAAACTGTCTTGAGGTGGCGATGCTACTGTGATTTGTCACTATATGAATTAAATTGAATTTAAATTAATTTTCCATGTTCTCCATGTGCCTGTGTAGGTTTCCATCGGGTACTCCAGTTTTCTCCAGCAGTTCAAAGACATGCTCATGTAGTAAGTGTTTTTCTGTCTCTATATATTTGCCCTGAGTAGGAGTGGTAATCAGCTGGGATAGGCTTAGATAGGCTGGGATTGTATTGTATTTTAACACTGTTGTATTGCTACTTTCACTTACTGCATATTAGTATTTCATACTCTTTTAGTATAACACGCACAGCAAAAACAGCCTGAAACAGCCAAGCTAGTTTCAATGCCATTTGGAAGAATTTTCTGAATTTTTATTTTTTAACCACAGCAGTCCTGCTTAGAGAGTCATATGAAGGCTGAGGTGAAGGGACAACTCACAAGAATCACTATTCCTCAAAAATTATTGGACACATTGTAGTGAAACAAGGTTATTTTGTCCTGAACGCGGCTGTTCAGAAACCTCTTTTACTTCTCAGTTTATTTTACTAATTAGTTTGTGCAACACGCCCAATCAATTATAGCAAAACCTATAAATATCTTTCTGTGCTTCACACATTAGAATAACCAGCAACCAACTGTAATGGGTTAATACCACGTCCTGACTTTTAAATATAATAAAATGGCATGATCAATATTTGCGACCTTCAAAATAGGTATCATGATCAAAATATAACACTTTACTGTTTAGGCAGCTATCTTGTCAACAAGTCTGATCATCAGCCAGGCTGTGCTACAACAAAAAAAAGCTGACTGGTTTTTATTTTCCTCAATTTAACTTATTATTCCAAAAACTTCAAAAACGTAGTTTTTAGTTTAATTTTAGTTCACCTAATTCAGAAACATGATGGTTGACAGAGAAAATATTCCTCCTCCCAGGGAGGGAAACTCGATAGGTGGTGGTAACACATCCTAAACGCTAGTTGGCGCCCGCAATTAAATAAACGAAGAAGAAGAGCAGACGTCCGTTACGTGCAGTTACTGGCGTTCAATGTCAGTTTGATGCATGTTTTTGAACGTTTTTTTTAAATTACACAGCTAGTTAAACCATTACCGGACTATCATGCAGACAGCCGCACTTAGAGCTTTTTGCCACTGGCCACAGAGTAATAGCACAGCGATGATTCGTCAGTGTTTAAAATGCAGAGGTAAGCAGTGATACCTGGAAGCTACGGTGCTACATGCTAAAAACACTTATCTAACCCTCACAGTATGTAGCGTCTATCAGTGCATACAGTTTACGTTTATCTGTAGGTGTAAGACTAGACTGGGTCTACACTTGTAAACGTAATGTAGCCTAAATCAAATATTTGATAGATTACTCGTCATTGACAGTTTTCTCAACTCAAACTCTTGACATTTACTTAGTTTGTAAGCGAAGTAAATGCGTGACCTTCATAGTGGGCACTTAAGAGTCGTGTAATTATAAATGTTTCAGCTTCAAGGCGGTTGACTGAAGGAGCTTTACATACGTCTTTTACTTTGTTTTAGCACTAACTCTGCAGCAGAGCTCTCGCGCTTACGGAGTAATTCCGCCCCCGCGCGACAGTGAGGAGAAGGAGATGGTGCACCGGATGCTGCGCGTGGACCATGCTGGAGAATATGGAGCCAACCGCATCTACGCCGGCCAGATGGCAGTGTTGGGTCGATCGAAGACTGGGCCATTCATTCAGGTATTAACCGAATAAACTGATATAAACTGATCATTTCATTACTTCTGTGTCACGTCAAGATTATAATTTATTAAAAAAAACAAATAAATAACAGGGGGGTTCAGCCCCCAGTTGTTGCTGTGGTTAAGTTTATTGAATTATTATAAATTTAAACATAACAGCAGCTTTTACAAGAATATTCAAATTACTTTTAATTAAATGATTATGCACAGTACTCTTAGTGTCATGTTTGCCTCTTTGGACAAAGGCAATCCAGTCGAACGTAACAATCCATTTAAATCTTCCTTCTTCTTCCTTCCTCTTAAATACAATATTTTAAATGAAATAAGCTGAATGATGCAGTGAAAGATGCCCGTATTAGGGTTGATCTTTTTACATACGAGCATGTCTGTTCCTCTCCATCAGCCTGTCACAGCAGCTGCAGCACCATCACGTAAAGCCAGTAAACCGTGCACATGATTTCTGCAGGATCTTGCAGACAGCTGATGAAATTCAATAAGATGAAAGAACAGGCTGCACATCTCACTGCTGTTTGATGTTAATTCTCAGGCATGTGGTTGATAAACAGTATTTCTAGGGGGTTTCTGAGTCTCCCAAAATTCTGAATCCAGTTCATTTCTCTCTTCTTTTTTTTTTTAATTAAAAAAACTTTAGTAAAACTTACTTAGCACAGGCAGGGACATATAGACTCCCCTGCAAATTACATCCTGGTTCTTCTACAACCTGAGAAGAATTGTCACATGATTACCAGTTAACCATATAAAAAGTCTAAATTCCCACTGACTGCCACAGATCATTATCCTAACGAGGACATACACAAGATCTTTCCTTCAGTCAGTTCTCCAGACATGGCACATAGAACTAGGAATGGCTAGAAATAGAGGGTAAACTAACAGAGGCCTTATTGCTCATCACTGAAAGAGCTGATCTCATGTTAGCTGCTGCATTGGATAGTTGTTTCTGTGTGCAGTTTGCACTTTAGCCTCATGGTCCTGATTTTTTTTTTCTTTCTTGTGCAATAAAAATGAAAGTGACGTTCATATCTCCACACCTCAAAAATTGTAGACAGCTGTACACTTTTTTTTTTTTTAATTTTCCCTTCCCTTCCCTTTTTTTTTTTTTTTTAAATTTATGTTAAAAGTGTCCGTATGTTTTCATCATCAGTATTAGGGCTGTGCGATATGACCAAAATCTCATTTCCTGATATAAGAATTCTATCGTCCGATAATGATATAAATCACAAAAATGTAAAATTTTCTGTAAATTCTGTGAATCTCGGGCAGCTCGACTTGCGGGAAGTGTTTCCAGCTGCGCGTTATGTAGCTGGAGTTGAGTGTTTTAACCGATGCATGAAACGATACATTTTTAGACATAAGTTGTAACAGCCGCCGTTTTCTTTGTGAGTATTTATTACACGGCGTGCTGCGGGGAAAAGCCTGTTCTAACGTTTGAGTCTAAGGTTTATTTTTTAGCACCTGACGGCTCCTTTTTGCTTCTCATCCGTAAACAGTCTGCATACTCTTTCACGTGATTCAGTTTACTTTGAAAAGTCTCAACAGGATCTTGAGCTTTATTGTGAAAGGTTTATGTGGAAAATAGACAAGCGAACACGCGATGCTGTTACCGTTGTTGTTGCTAACGACAATGCATAAAAACAGGCGCTTGTCCGTCCGTAGTGTGATTATATTAAATATAAGAGAAGGAGAGAACTTTAAGAAATTAATATAGCCACTACAGTGACCATCAAAACGATGGAAAAATATTGCCATAAACAATTTATTTTGCAACACCAGGAATCAAACGATAGCGTAAAATGAAACGATAGACATTTTTATATCGTCATCTGACATATATCGTTATATCGAACAGCCCTAATCAGTATATGTCCCTAAATTTTGACACTTTGCGCTTTTTTTCCTACAGGAAATGTGGGATCAAGAAAAGAAACACCTTGAGAAATTCAATGAAATTCTTGCTGAGAACAGAGTTCGCCCCACAGCACTGTTACCTTTCTGGAATATTGCTGGGTTTGCATTAGGTTGGTACAACACATAAAGACATAACAGAAGATAAACAAATGATTCAAAGAGTAATGATTATTGAATTTCACAATGGCTCCCTGACGTGTCATTAACAAGTGTATAAACAGTAAGCAGTAGGAAATCTCTTCATTAAATGTTAACAGCATGTATCTCTCTCTTTTGAAGGGGCATCATCTGCATTACTGGGAAAAGAAGGGGCCATGGCCTGTACTGTGGCAGTGGAAGAGAGTATCACTGAACACTATAACAGCCAGATAAGAACTCTGATGGAGAAGGACCCAGAGAGATACACTGAACTCTTACAAGTGAGTCTCTTATCTCCGTAGCTCTGCTCTGTGGTTGCCCTTTACTGTGCATGAAATTCATATTGTTCATTATGAGATTGTGGCAACAGCTGAGTCTAAAGAGGAGCCGAAGGGCGATAATATTAGGCACCTGCCCCTCCAAAAAAAAGAGATTAGAGTCTAGCATACCAAAATGGAAATAATGTTGAATGTTTTTGATTATGGTGATTGTTACAAGCCACGCTAAATAATAATTAATCAATTAAACTCAGTTTCACGCTAGTTAATACAGCTTTGTACCTAATCGCTAATCGCCTTTTACTAACATTACTACATTTAAGTAAGAGTTATCTAACCAGCAAATAAATAAAGCCACCTTAAATTTTGTTTGAGGAAAATTTCATTCAATGATGTCTGTATCCCATTAATGCCAATATGAGTCTGAAATGGTTTCGGTCTTTCCCATATGGAAAAGATATATATAAATCTTATAAAGTTTTTATCTGTCTTGTATGAAACTTGTATGAAAAGCATACAAGAGTGAAAACACATATAAGATCCCTTGAAAAATTATATAATGAAACTTGTATGTTTTGTATACTTACTAAAAAAATATATGAA